TTTTTAGGAAATAAGAAAATTTAATTTCTGCCAGGCATATTAGTTATTTTGTGCATAATTAGCAATTTACCTGGGGTGGTGCATGGTCATTTTCTTGTAAAATATTATACTTAGACAAATTTTTCCTTCCAATGACTACCCCTAAAACCAACCCTTCTGAACACTATAAGCACTTCAGCAAGGCTATTGCTTTTCCTTTTCGGAAGTTAGAGCTATGTCGACACTGCCGTTTCAGGACTTTCGTCCCGGATTCAGGTTTTGGCACATATGCCATGTTGACCGCCATGGTCATTTTACTCTAAAACAGTTGAGATTAGCTGTCCTAAATGAAACGCAAACAAACTCAAATACAGGTCCTAGACTAAGCGGAGTATTTTCAATATAGCATGTACATATATATATATATATATATATATATATATATATATATATATATATATATATATATATATATATATATATATATATATATATATATATATATATATATATATATATATATATATATATATATATATATACTCTACACTGCTGAAAGACAACCCTTTGTCGTTGATAATTGCATTCTAATTGAAAAATATTGAGTATTATTTTTATATTATTTAAAAATTTAAAAAGGTAGCTTTTCGTAAAAACTAGAAAATAAAGCTAATTACGCCAACGCTTTTCATTGCACTGAAACACGTTGGTCAAACAAGGGGGAATTTCGTTCTCGACCAATCAGCGCTTTTGTTTACATTTTTGCCCTAAGCCAATCAGAATGCGTAAAACGCTTCATCACATGAAATTTGTAAACAAACATATGGGGTTACTTCAGAGCTTTTCTGCAAGCGGTTTTTTGTTTTTTGCCATGAAATTCATATATGTTGTTCTTAAAAGAATTCTCCTCAACTTCCTCGTGGCGATTTTTGATTAATTGCGTGATTGCGAAGATATGGGTCTTCAACTTTGCGTTGCGCAGGTTTAAATACCACCCCTCGAATTTGTAGGTTCCGAACGGATTAGCGTTTTTAAAAGCCTTTCAAATCGAGGTTTGAGAGGTTTTATTTTTTAAAAGATACTTTTATCTTCATATTTTCACATTAACTTATTAATATCCTGTGTAACAAGTAAACAGGGCATTTCCGGGCCGGGACAAGTTGACATGTCGATTTCTTGCCAAACAGCGTGGCGATCAATATGGCGAATATCTAAATACAGGGAATTTTTAAAATTTTGTTGGTATAAATGGGATAAAGAAGCTCATCAAATATTTGGACTATGGACCTTCAAACTTATGCCAAGTATTTATTTGATTGATTAGCTCAATAACTGTTTTTTTTGGCTCGTTTTTCGTCGATTTCGACATTTAGTCGAGCTTAGTCGACTTCAAAATAATGTGTCAACATTGCGTGTTGCACCCTGTGGACATGAATATTTTCGTTTGTTTGACAATAACACTTGTCTTCATTGGTTTTAATCCTTGATTGACAATATATTCATTGGTCCCAGAGTCCTAAACTTAAGGAAGATGGATGACATTGGGACAGAATGATTTTGTTCAATGTTGCTGTTCAGGTAGCAAAATTTATGGATATATACCTGTATATGAACTTCATTGTTTTTTTACTTCATCTGGCTCACTTGTCACAATTGGGCCCTGTTCATATTACCTGGCTAGGTGGGAGACGACATTTGCCAATATGTTCTATCCTATCCTGCTACTATCGGCCTATCTAAGCGTGAGGTTTCCATTGCCAGAATCCTGGCTATATGTAAGCCAAGAAATTCACCATATACAATAAGGATCAATAAGCACTGTATACCAAACAGGCAACATGAATTAGGCTTCAAGCATGTGTTCTGGATAGTCTAGATCATTTAAACAGGTCCCCAATAGATCCCGATCTACTATAATTGAAACATCTTAGTCCATAAATTTGTGCATTACCAGAATACCTGTGCACAAATGAATATTTTACACATATTATATAATGCAATCCAATATTAAGCCCCCCAGTAACCTCACAAATAGGCCTCCCTTCCAGGCTAACCTGGCAACTGTTGTCAAGAAATTTGTGTGAAATGCTGGTTAATTTGTTAATGACAACAGCTTCAGAAGGCTTATATTAATCAATTTCTTACTTACTTGGGCCAAATTGTGTATTATAACATGATTTTTAGTCGATAGTTGATATGATCTGGGCTAGGCAGCATGGGACCCTAAAGGCAAGTTCATGTTGCCTGGTTGTGGGATAGAATGTTGGGATTCTGGCAACGGATACCTTGTGCTTATAGCCAGGATAGTAGCAGGATAGTATATCGGTAATACTGGCAAATGTTGTCTCCTGCCTAGCCAGGTCATAAGAACAGGCCCCATTTGTGACTAGTGGGCCAGATTAAGGAAGAAACAATGAGGGTCCTATGACTATGCTGTGACTATATATGTCCATAAATTTTGATATCTGAACAAAATTTTGATATCTGTCCCAAAGTCATCCATCTTCCTTAAGTTTAGGACTCTGAGACCAATGAATATATTGTCATTCAAGGATTAAAAACAGTGAAGAAAAGTGTTATGGTCAAACAAACGAAAATATTCATATCCACAGGCTGCAACACGCAATGTTGACACATTATTTTGAAGTCGACTAAGCTCGACTAAATGTCGAAATCGACGAAAAACGAGCCAAAAAAACAGTTATTGAGCTAATCAATCAAATCAATACTTGGCATAAGTTTGAAGGTCCATAGTCCAAATATTTGATGAGCTTCTTTATCCCATTTATACCAACAAAATTTTAAAAATTCCCTGTATTTAGATATTCGCCATATTGATCGCCACGCTGTTTGGCAAGAAATCGACATGTCAACTTGTCCCGGCCCGGAAATAAGTTAATGTGAAAATATGAAGATAAAAGTATCTTTTAAAAAATAAAACGTCTCAAACCTCGATTTGAAAGGCTTTTAAAAACGCTAATCCGTTCGGAACCTACAAATTCGAGGGGTGGTATTTAAGCCTGCGCAACGCAAAGTTTGAAGACCCATATCTTCGCAATCACGCATTTAATCAAAAATCGCCACGAGGAAGTTGAGGAGAATTCTTTTAAGAACAACATATATGAATTTCATGGCAAAAAAACAAAAAACCGCTTGCAGCAAAGCTCTGAAGTAACCCCATATGTTTGTTTACAAATTTCATGTGATGAAGCGTTTTACGCATTCTGATTGGCTTAGGGCAAAAATGTAAACAAAAGCGCTGATTGGTCGAGAACGAAATTCCCCCTTGTTTACGTGTACCATTTTAGGGGTCAAAAATTTTTTCCGGACATACAAAAATTTTCCGTGAAGCCAAAATTTTTTCCGGATATCTTAAATTTTCGCCATTTCTTCAAAATATTTTTCTAAATTCCAAAAATTTCCCAAAATTTTTATAAATATAAACTATAAATTACCTGAATCTCGTGATTTTCCTACAAAAAGCATCGTTGGAAATGTGATTTATCACGTATTATTTTACAACTAAAAGGGCACTTCTGCCCCCCCTACCCCCCCTAGCAAAAGGCAAGGGGGGCAGCCGCCCCCCCTGCCCCCCCCAGTTCCGGCGTCCCTGACAGTCCGCCATATTTTTGAGATCAGTGAGGATGACCACCCACTCAAGGTTCGTTGGTCACGCCCGCGATATTTGATGAACTTTAGACTTGGCTAATGCTTTCGTTTCCCCGGGTGTAAATAGCCGGGGGGAATTAGTACCCTCGCACGGCGCTTCGCGCCGCCGGCTCGGGGAAAATTCATACAATTTGTTTAAAATGCATAGCTTTGACGTGCAAATGCTTCAATGTACAGTAAAACCTCTATAAGGGACGGACGGACCATCATATATTTGAGGGGGTGGTTGCAGCTTTTTTCATGCAGGATTTTTTTTTGGAGGCACATATTGTGCATGGTTTTTTTTTCGTTTATATTGATATTGCAATATCTTTGAAAGAAAATTTGGTAGTGTAACCGGGCCATTTCGACATGCAGTGACTGCTCCGCTTCCGGCCAGTGGCGTAGTCAGACCTTCACTTTTGGGTGGGCAAAGCTCACGGCGTGAGAAATCTAGAGTCCCTGAAATGCGATTTCAAGAATTCCAAAGATTATAACGAATATCGAAGACATAAATTTTCCTAGACATTTCTACTCGAAATTAAATAAATTGGAAAAGTCACCTTGGAAACAGGGGGGGGGGGTCAGTGTCGCCTTATTTCCCCTCTGTGATGCTTGGAGGAGCCATGTGATTTCGATCAGAAATGTTGCATTTAAATCATTCTAGGTTCTATGAGACACCATTTCCGCATTCTCAGAATTGCGTTGCTTTTTATGCGATACAGAGTAAGTCCGAGAACAAATATTCATGCTATGATAATGCGTACATGCATTTAACAGTAAAAAATCTAAACTAAATCTATTCTTCTTGGAACCATATCTACAAGACTACAAATGCTTTAAAGAGATTTTACAAATCAAGTTTTTTGCAGCATATCGTCTTTTTCCACACTCGAGACGTACTTAATCATTTTCAGCTTTGACCATGCAACGTGAACCAAACTCACCAATTTCTCTACGGATTTAGCCTTTTTGAGAATACTTTTTGTGGCGATTGGTCGGGGGGCAGTTGCCCCCCTCGCCCTCCCCCCCCCCCAACCCTTGGCTATGCCACTGTTTCCAGCATAGTTTCAAATATTAAGAACAGGTCATAATTTCAAGGCGTACACTTATCGACACTCACCTACAACATCTTTGACATGAGGTACAGGCAGCTGGAGAGATGGTAGCCCGAAGCTAGTGGCGGCAGGCTGGTCGGCAATCTGAAGGCCTGTTCCAGGGTTCTGTATTACCACAGAATAAACAAATCTGTTTATTCTGTGGTATTAGTTATTAATATGCAATAAATCAAGGCAAATTATATCCGCGCTCTCAGACCTCAGACTCAATGGTTGTCGGCCGGCGTACAACCTTTGGTATGCACTTCATGTCTTGCAGCTATAGTGAATCTATGTGTGGGGTTGGCCATAGCCCTAGGACATGAAGTATATACCCTACCTCCTGCAAGCCATACAGCCCGTATGCCCGTTCGCAGGTTTCGTCGCCTTAATTTTTAAAACTCCTGTACTTTCACAAATTTGGAAGCTTTGCATAATACAATAATGGGTGATCATCACGATTGTCATAGCATTCTATGTATTCTTCATATTTTATATCCACAAGTTCCAAATAAGGGTCCAGGAATTAGAGTTTACTCTCATAGGATGGGTGCTTGCACGAATTTATTTTTCAAGTTTTCTTCTCGTATTTTTTTTTTGAAGGATAAATGCTTGCTCGAATTTTTGGGGGGGATTTCTGCAACCACCCTCTCAAATATCTGATGATCCTCCCTAATATATATCCCCAAGGTTGGCAAGAAAATATAAACTTAAAACTGTATACAAAAATTTAATAACGAAAAAAATTGCACATAAACATCGAAATTCATTTAAAAAACTAACTCACTATGGTAAGACATAACTTTAATACTTCTACGTTGTGTTTTTTTGTTCTTTCATTACTTTAAAACGAGTTAATTTTGCAAAATTTATCAAATTCGTGCTCAATTTGGTCAAAACTATTGCAGGATGATGGTTCCCGGCGTTACGTCACGAAATAAAGATCTCTGATTTGCTGAAAGTTTTTAAAGTTTTGTGGCGTAACGCCGGGAGCCATCATCATTAGGGCCTAGACGAAAATTACTTCGTGTAATTCAAGAACTCGAGCACAGTTTTTCTCATTCGGCCTTTCAAGACCTCGGGCACAGTTTTTCTCATTCGGACCTCGCAGCCGGTAAATAACAAATAGATACTCTGCCATCGCAAAGGTAAAAACATTTATGAAGCCACCTGGGTTCTGTAGAAATAAGATTCTGTAGTCCGTAAATCCAAGCTTAATGGGATCTTGCATAATGAGTATTCAGAAGATAGAACATCACAATCGATACCAGGATAGCCTCTGCAGGATCTTCATGTTCCAAGTAGAAGAAAGGTTAAAGATAAAAATATTAAAAATTATAAATCACCAAGGAGGCTGTGCACATGAATTATATGCAAGTATATAAATTATATACTTGCAAGTGCTGTATGTAAATTATATAGGATATTAGACGGTTGCAAGGGGACATGGATTTTATGTTCGAGTGGCAAAAACAATATGTGAGATATAGTTTTTGCCACTCGAACATAAATTCATATCTTCTAAGAACTGTTTTATTACTGTTCTGTTTATTATATGGACTTATTGATAGGGACAACAATACACACAAAGCCAAAGACGACATGTAAATAAGCAGGCGAAAGAGCAGTATAAAAGCGATATTTTTTAAAATTATAGTAAACATGCAGACATAAAAATTAGAATAAATATTACTTATCTCAAGATGTCTTTTAAATATTTTCGTTCTATTTCCAAAGTTAATTTCGTTTTATATACGGAACCAAAGACCATTTGTATCTTCAAAACAACAACAATGAAAATGGCGGGAAAGTTTTGAACTTCGTATGTCACTAGCAGGGGTGAAATACGGAAGATAAGCGCACATGGTCCCGGATGTAGTGACGTATGAGTTCTACGAGTGTTTTAGTTTCTAGTAAAACACCATTGTCCATAAAATAAACTGTATATATTGTTGTTCTGACAAAGATCAAAATACATGTATTTCACACAACCAGTCAATATTTAGTCATAATTTGAATTACCGGTAAGGTTCTAACAGGGTATATTACACATAAATATTAAAAGATATTATTTTGCATTGGAAAATATTATAAAGAGTACCTTTTATGGGCTTATGAGGCTGATAAGAAAGTATCAAACAACTGATAGAACGAACCAAATCTAATCGTTTGTTAGTGATGTGTCAGAATAAAATATTTGAGATTTGGGCAGAATGTCTGGCTGAACTATCAGTTCAGGTAACATCTTTTAGGGCAAGTCGAGAGGGTTAGGGCGCATGGGCAGATATACTAGTTAACCAATTAACCAGAAGAGTAGACTTTTCTGGTATTAGTCACAGTTTTGTTGTGAGGCACTGATGCAAAAAGCTTTTTTCGAGTCATATTATTCATATTGTGAGTACAGATGCCATTTTGGCACGCTGTACCGTATGATCATGAGCAACCCAGAACCAACCGGAGAAAATAGGACTGCACGTTTAGCCGCATCGGAAAAATAATAGCGTTGGCAGGAAAAAAGGGTCGGTCGGGAAACAGGAACCACAGGCAACTTTTAGGTCTAACTCTGGCATCTGGGCTGCCTCGGTTCAATATAAACATACAACTTGACTCATAAACAGTTACTCATGCCATATAGGATCTGCGGGGCACACTATAATTTCCTCAGGGATTAGTGTTTTAAGCGGCCGGTTAAATGAGCATTTTCATCCCTGGGGTTGAACTCTGCCCTGTTTACGGGGTTCAAATTCCAGCCCTGTCTGCAATACAAAACTCTATCAAAATCAAACGACAGAAAATATTTCCATTACTAAACTAGATTGTTCTAAAGTAAAACATATTCAGTCTGCTATATGTAGTCAAGGTAAAAATATGTAAAATTGTGAAGAAAACGGAAGGATCACTATGTGATCTGTATGGATTAACAGCCATAAAGCCGAACGAAACAGTCGTGCATCCTGTGGTGATTGTACAGATTAAAGGCCGGAAATTCCGCGCGCTTTTAGATAGCGGCGCTAGTAATTCTTACATATCAGAGACTCTGGTAAATCTCACAGGCGTTCAAGATCTCAAAACAACCACGCGCCAAATTTCCACGTTAATGGGTACCACAACGACAAAAATGTCGCAATTTGATCTAAGCGTTAAAGCAGTAAAAGGCGATTTCACCCTAAACGTTCGTGCAACTATGATAAAAAGGCGTGAACTGTTGCTGCTCGATAATCCACACAACGAAAAGAGAATTGAAGCTCATCAACACTTGCGTGACATAGAATTAGAAGACCACCCAACTAAAGAAAGATTACCCGTGCATGTAATATTGGGCGCCAACGAGTACGCTAAGATTCGGACGTCCCAGGTGCGCATCGGACGCCAAGGGGAACCTGTAGCTGAGCTCACACGATATGGATGGGCTCTTATGAGTCCTGGAGCAGACACAGATCCATCAGTTGGTTGTCTTGCCGTCAATACAGCGTTGGACCACGAACAGTTGTGTGCACTTGATGTTCTTGGCCTGGCCGATTCGCCAGCAGGTGATCAGGACGTGGTTTACCAGGAGTTTCGAGAGCAGCTGAAGCGAAACGCTGATGAAGGTTGGTATGAGACAAGGCTTCCGTGGAAAGGCGACCATCCACCACTACCCAGTTATCGCAATGGTAGTATTCGCCGCCTACACACACAAGTTCGAAAGCTACGCAAAATGGGAAAGCTAGAAGACTACGACGCAATTATCCGCGAACAACTGAACGAAGGAATCGTTGAACGTGCTCCCAACGAAGCTGTTGGCCGTGAGTTCTACATGCCGCATCGCGCCGTGATCAGAGAAGGAGCCGAGAGTACGAAGATGCGTGTCGTTTACGATTGTTCCGCTCGTGAAGGAGAGGGTTCCCCATCCCTCAACGACTGCCTTGACATTGGTCCTCCACTCCAAAACAAGCTTTGGGACGTTCTGGTACGAGGACGTTTTCACCCAATTGCTCTTGCTGGTGACCTGAGAAAGGCGTTCCTACAAGTACGTATTGACGAGGGAGATCGTGATGCCTTACGCTTTCATTGGTTGCGTTCCATCGATTCAAACGAAGTTGAGACTTTGCGATTTACACGAGCGTTATTTGGTCTTGGACCTTCCCCGTTTCTACTTGGAGGAGTGCTCGAACAGCACTTGGTGGTTGGAGTGATAAACGTCCGGAGAGCGTGGCAGAGATATCTCGAAGTTTGTACGTAGACGACCTGATCTCTGGTGCTGGCAACGTCCCAAAGGCTCAAGGTTTGAAAGACAACGCCACAGAAATATTCGCTGATGCTGGTTTCGATCTTCACAAGTGGCATTCTAACGCGCCAGAGTTGTAAAGTCAATGCATCAAGTCAGAAAACAACGATGAAATTACGTACGCTAAAGAACAGTTGGGTTCTTCTGCTGATGAGTGCAAGCTTCTAGGATTGGCTTGGAATAAAAGGGAAGATACGCTCAGTGTGACTTTTCCTGAAGAAAAAAGTAAGCCAACGAAAAGAGAGGTCCTAGGGAAATTGGCTCGCGTCTACGATCCTCTTGGGCTGGTGTCGCCAATGACGCTTCAAGGAAAGATGATCTTTCGCAAAGCTTGTGAGAGTAAAGTTCCCTGGGACGCTACCTTGCCTGACAAGCTGGCTAAGCTTTGGGATAAATGGGAATCCAACTTACCTGCGAGTGTGTCAACCAGGCGAAGTTTGGCTACATATCGAGAGCCTGTTGACGCTGTAGTACTCCATGCATTTGGAGATGCAAGTGGACGTGGTGTAGCGACGGCAGTGTACGCAGTGGTGAGTCAAGCATCTGGAGTTACCCAAGGATTGATAGCTGCCAAATCCCGACTAGCCAAAAAGGGCCTTACTATTCCACGTCTCGAGTTGGTGGCTGGTCACATGGCTTCGAACATGGTTGATAACGTTCGCCGAGCTCTCGAAGGATTTCCAGTGACTGGGACCTACTGCTGGCTTGATAGTACCGTGGCCTTGCACTGGATTTGCGGTGGTGGGGAGTATCGCCAGTTTGTTGCAAACCGTGTTCAAAAGATCCAGGAGCACAAGATTGATGCATGGATGCACGTGCCTACTGCAGAAACCCCGCAGATCTTGGAAGTCGTGGTGGTTCTGTCGAAGATTCAGAATTATGGTGGAACGGTCCGGAATGGCTGTCCAATCGTGATCTGTGGCCACCTAATCTTGTGACCAAGGAAAGTGCTGAATCAGCAACCGAAGCGAAAGCCATAAGAGAAGTGTTAGCAGTCACAACCGTTGCTGAACCTGATGAATTTGACAGCTTGCTAGCGAAGTACGATCTTAAAAGAACGTTACGAGTGTGCGTGTGGATATCCAGATTTGTGCGTTCGTGTAGAGGGGCTAAACGTGCCGGTCCTATTACCACTGCCGAAATGGATGAACAAATGAAATGGTGGATTTGTCGAGTCCAACGACGTGCTAAATCGTCTGCAAGATACCTCGACGAACGATTACAACTAAACTTGCAAGAAAATGACGAGGTAATCTTGGAGTGCCGTGGCCGGATTCAGGGAATGTACCCTATCTTCATTCCAGACGACTGTGAATTTGCAGTGAAGCTAGTTGAAGAAGCCCATCGTACGAGCCTACATGGTGGAGTCGGGTTGACTATCGCCAAGATACGAGAAGAATACTGGATTCCCCGATTGCGTCGATTGACAAAACGTGTTATCAAACCGTGTCACGGATGTAAAAGGTTTCAAGCCCGTGCCTTTGCTTCGCCTCCGCCTGGTCTCCTCCCGAAAGAAAGAACCCAAGGAACGACAGCCTTTGAAGTAGTTGGCGTAGATTTTGCTGGTCCCATCCGCTATCGCCGAAAGAAAAACCAGGAAGGAAAATCATATCTGATTCTCTTCGCTTGTAGTTTATCCCGTGCTCTTCATTTGGAGCTGCTGCTAAGCTTGGAGACGGCTGAGTTCTTGGGAGCCTTGAAACGTTTCATTGCACGTCGTGGTCGACCGACAAAGATTTATTCTGACAACGGTAAAACGTTTGTTGCTGCGGCCAAGTGGCTGAAGAAAGCAATGAAAGACGAACAGTTACATGATTTCCTCACAGATAAAGCTATTTCGTGGCAGTTTAACCTCAGCCGAGCGCCGTGGTGGGGAGGGCAGTTCGAGCGCTTAGTTGGACTGTTCAAACGTGCTTTCAACAAGACGATAGGAGCAGGACTACTTACCTACCCGGAACTATGTGATGTTGTGCTCAATATTGAAGTAGAATTAAACAATCGTCCGTTAGACTACGTAGAAGATGACCCCCAGTTTCCTATCTTGACTCCCGCATCGTTACTATTCCAACGATCAAATCGGATCCCTGAGTTAGAACCGTGGCGCGAATTAGTCGATTTACGTAAGAGAGCCAAGTACCTGCGATCTTGTAAAGATGCCCTGTGGAAACGTTGGAGTTCAGAGTATTTAACTGCGTTGAGAGAAAGACATCGGTGTGATCGGGACGGAAAGTCATTAACTCTCGGTATTGGGGATGTCGTTATCGTGCGTTCCGACGAACGAAATCGAGCAAAGTGGCCGCTTGGGATTGTAGAAAAGCTCTTCCCTGGAAAGGACGGTGTTGTTCGTGCTGTGAAGTTGCGTGCAGGTAAGACATATTTGGAAAGACCCGTTCAACATCTGTACCCCTTAGAGCTCTCCTGTGACAAACGTCCAGCGACGCCGGAGACCCTTAACCCTGAGGCACCACCTTTTCGCCCAAAGAGAGATGCAGCTGTTGCTGGAGATTTGAGAAATAAAGATATTCTTCGAAATGAACAGGAACACTGATTGGTAACTATGTACGATTATTAGAAAGTTTCCATATTGCATGTGACTCCTAGCAGATTCACATGGGGGAGTGTGTCGGAAACTGACCTTATTATTATTTAGCACTAATTCAATTATAGTAAATTTTAGTTTAATTAGGGATATTACATTACAAACGAATATAGACAATTATGATTGGGCAAAGTAATCACGTGATTAGGGCAGCATGACAATAACAAACAGATTTTGTGGGCTTGTGTATTGTGACTCGTGTGTTGTTATATATACTCGGTGAGAGACGGTGATTTACATATCGAAACGATTGTGACATAGTGACCTTTTTATTAAATATTTTTGTTTGTCGTTTATTGTATTTTAATTTGTGAACGTGTGGGACTTCTGAAAGGTTTGAACTCCCTTTCCCCACATTACTGGCACCTCACAGACGGGATTATTTGATGAATATTTTGCGACGAGTTGTGGAATAAACGATGTCCTTAAAGAAGCAACTCGCAGAATTAGACGTGAAGTTAAAGGCCTTAACCTTTCGAACCAAACGCAGTGACGAGGTTATTGAAAAAGGCGAAAAAACAGCAGTAGAGAGACAGAAAGGATCTATCGTGGCAATTGTAAGTACAATTAACATTTTAAAGGGAAATATTGAAGAAGCGAAATTTGGGCAGGGTGAAAATGAAGCCGATATAGAACAATGGTCGCGAGACATTGAAGCGCAAGTCACCATAGCTGACCAGAGTTGTAAAAAACTTGACGATTTTATTAATGATATTGATAGCAAAGCAAGAGAATTAGAATTGGCTAAAAATCATGACCAAACATTGAAATTTGAGAAACAGCTTTTAGAACAAAAACTTGAGGCTGCTATCAAAACCAAAGAGCTCTCTGAAAGTACAGTGCGCTTACCAAAGTTGAATATAACGAAATTTAACGGAAAACCACATGATTGGGTGCGATTTTCTGGTCAGTTCGAGGCCATGGTTGACTCGCTGAATGTCCCTGCCATAACAAAGTTTTCGCACCTAAAAGAGCTTGTAGAGCCGCATATTAGAAGCGCTATTGACTGTCTGCCGTTCACAGACGAGGGATATGAGCGGGCGATGAAATATCTTAAAGAGAAATACGGTCACCCTAGTGAAATAGCTGGATCGTACGTTACCAGTATAATAGAATTGCCATTTATAACCGAGCGAGACGTTCCCAAAATACACAGGTTTTACGAGCGCTTATTGTTCAATGTTGAAAGCCTAGAGATGCTCGGGAAACTTGATACCATTGAAGGTGTTATATACTATATTGTGAAAAAATTAGACGTCGTAAAAGCCGAATTAGTAGCGCACGTTGAAACGAATTGGAGAGACTGGACATTTAGAGATTTACTAAATGCGCTGCAAAAATGGACGGAGGTTAATTCTATAGCAAAAGTGCAAAGGCGAAGTAAGGATAATTCATTTCATAACCAAAATTACCAATCCACGGGTGGGCGGGCTTTGACCTCTCGCGATTCTGAGGTTAAGTGCATTTACTGCGAAAGTGTTGAACACAAAGCAATTTCATGTGATAAAGTAACGAACACGAACGAAAGAAAGAAAATTCTCGCTGAAAAACACCTTTGTTTTAACTGCGCTGTTGGGCAACATGCAGCAAGTAACTGCAAAAGCAAAGTTTCGTGCCAAAAATGCCAGAAACGTCACCACACTTCCATATGTCCGTCATCGCCCGAAGTAGGATTAACAGCCATAAAGCCGAACGAAACAGTCGTGCATCCTGTGGTGATTGTACAGATTAAAGGCCGGAAATTCCGCGCGCTTTTAGATAGCGGCGCTAGTAATTCTTACATATCAGAGACTCTGGTAAATCTCACAGGCGTTCAAGCTGTCAAAACAACCACGCGCCAAATTTCCACGTTAATGGGTACCACAAGGACAAAAATGTCGCAATTTGATCTAAGCGTTGAAGCAGTAAAATGCGATTTCACTCTAAACGTTCGTGCAACTATGATAAAAAGGCGTGAACTGTTGCTGCTCGATAATCCACACAACGAAAAGAGAATTGAAGCTCATCAACACTTGCGTGACATAGAATTAGGAGACCACCCAACTAAAGAAAGATTACCCGTGCATGTAATATTGGGCGCCAACGAGTACGCTAAGATTCGGACGTCCCAGGTGCGCATCGGACGCCAAGGGGAACCTGTGGCTGAGCTCACACGATATGGATGGGCTCTTATGAGTCCTGGAGCAGACACAGATCCATCAGTTGGTTGTCTTGCCGTCAATACAGCGTTGGACCACGAACAGTTGTGTGCACTTGATGTTCTTGGCCTGGCCGATTCGCCAGCAGGTGATCAGGACGTGGTTTACCAGGAGTTTCGAGAGCAGCTGAAGCGAAACGCTGATGAAGGTTGGTATGAGACAAGGCTTCCGTGGAAAGGCGACCATCCACCACTACCCAGTTATCGCAATGGTAGTATTCGCCGCCTACACACACAAGTTCGAAAGCTACGCAAAATGGGAAAGCTAGAAGACTACGACGCAATTATCCGCGAACAACTGAACGAAGGAATCGTTGAACATGCTCCCAACGAAGCTGTTGGCCGTGAGTTCTACATGCCGCATCGCGCCGTGATCAGAGAAGGAGCCGAGAGTACGAAGATGCGTGTCGTTTACGATTGTTCCGCTCGTGAAGGAGAGGGTTCCCCATCCCTCAACGACTGCCTTGACATTGGTCCTCCACTCCAAAACAAGCTTTGGGACGTTCTGGTACGAGGACGTTTTCACCCAATTGCTCTTGCTGGTGACCTGAGAAAGGCGTTCCTACAAGTACGTATTGACGAGGGAGATCGTGATGCCTTACGTTTTCATTGGTTGCGTTCCATCGATTCAAACGAAGTTGAGACTTTGCGATTTACACGAGCGTTATTTGGTCTTGGACCTTCCCCGTTTCTACTTGGAGGAGTGCTCGAACAGCACTTGGTTGGTTGGAGTGATAAACGTCCGGAGAGCGTGGCAGAGATATCTCGAAGTTTGTACGTAGACGACCTGATCTCTGGTGCTGGCAACGTCCCAAAGGCTCAAGGTTTGAAAGACAACGCCACAGAAATATTCGCTGATGCTGGTTTCGATCTTCACAAGTGGCATTCTAACGCGCCAGAGTTGGAAAGTCAATGCATCAAGTCAGAAAACAACGATGAAATTACGTACGCTAAAGAACAGTTGGGTTCTTCTGCTGATGATTGCAAGCTTCTAGGATTGGCCTGGAATAAAAGGGAAGATACGCTCAGTGTGACTTTTCCTGAAGAAAAAAGTAAGCCAACGAAAAGAGAGGTCCTAGGGAAATTGGCTCGCGTCTACGATCCTCGTGGGCTGGTGTCGCCAATGACGCTTCAAGGAAAGATGATCTTTCGCGAAGCTTGTGAGAGTAAAGTTCCCTGGGACGCTACCTTGCCTGACAAGCTGGCTAAGCTTTGGGATAAATGGGAATCCAACTTACCTGCGAGTGTGTCAACCAGGCGAAGTTTGGCTACATATCGAGAGCCTGTTGACGCTGTAGTACTCCATGCATTTGGAGATGCAAGTGGACGTGGTGTAGCGACGGCAGTGTACGCAGTGGTGAGTCAAGCATCTGGAGTTACCCAAGGATTGATAGCTGCCAAATCCCGACTAGCCAAAAAGGGCCTTACTATTCCACGTCTCGAGTTGGTGGCTGGTCACATGGCTTCGAACATGGTTGATAACGTTCGCCGAGCTCTCGAAGGATTTCCAGTGACTGGGACCTACTGCTGGCTTGATAGTACCGTGGCCTTGCACTGGATTTGCGGTGGTGGGGAGTATCGCCAGTTTGTTGCAAACCGTGTTCAAAAGATCCAGGAGCACAAGATTGATGCATGGATGCACGTGCCTACTGCAGACAACCCCGCAGATCTTGGAAGTCGTGGTGGTTCTGTCGAAGATTCAGAATTATGGTGGAACGGTCCGGAATGGCTGTCCAATCGTGATCTGTGGCCACCTAATCTTGTGACCAAGGAAAGTGCTGAATCAGCAACCGAAGCGAAAGCCATAAGAGAAGTGTTAGCAGTCACAACCGTTGCTGAACCTGATGAATTTGACAGCTTGCTAGCGAAGTACGATCTTAAAAGAACGTTACGAGTGTGCGTGTGGATATCCAGATTTGTGCGTTCGTGTAGAGGGGCTAAACGTGCCGGTCCTATTACCACTGCCGAAATGGATGAACAAATGAAATGGTGGATTTGTCGAGTCCAACGACGTGCTAAATCGTCTGCAAGATACCTCGACGAACGATTACAACTAAACTTGCAAGAAAATGACGAGGTAATCTTGGAGTGCCGTGGCCGGATTCAGGGAATGTACCCTATCTTCATTCCAGACGACTGTGAATTTGCAGTGAAGCTAGTTGAAGAAGCCCATCGTACGAGCCTACATGGTGGAGTCGGGTTGACTATCGCCAAGATACGAGAAGAATACTGGATTCCCCGATTGCGTCGATTGACAAAACGTGTTATCAAACCGTGTCACGGATGTAAAAGGTTTCAAGCCCGTGCCTTTGCTTCGCCTCCGCCTGGTCTCCTCCCGAAAGAAAGAACCCAAGGAACGACAGCCTTTGAAGTAGTTGGCGTAGATTTTGCTGG